CGGGGTTGGAGGTCGTGCCGCATGTCGTTGAACTCAGCTCGTCGAGATCTTTCTATTGACACCGGTGGTGTCAAAAATGGAGGTCGGAATCTTAACTTGAGTATTTGGCCATTGATGGTTTGTGTGAGAGAGAACGTGAGAGGAGAGAGAGAATGAGCGAGAATAAGAGAAAGAAAGTGTAAGAACCCTAAAAATTTCACTATATAAAGTATCTGATTAAGGCAAGATTACGTGCCTGATCTTATCCTCAATTATTTCCTCTAAACAGATTAAATTTATACTGATTAGAGGTAATTAGTTTAGCTTACGTAAGTTAATCTACTACTTACAGTCCAATATTAATTTCTGAATAATTCAATATTGTTTTATATTCTTACTCGCGTAATATTTCAAACTGTTTCAAGTCTTGAAATTAATTTTAGACTGAACAAATTCTAAATTTTAATTTTCTGTATTCTATCCCGAGAATGACGTTTCTGACAGTGTCAACTCCCGAGCTCATATTGTACCCATCTACTATAGGTATTTATCTTGCGACTTTAACCTAACTGTCTAGCAATTAAGGATTTTTTTCTTCTTTTAAAATGTCAGTGCGTTTTTTTTTTTATACGCCGCTAACATCGTGCCGTGCTTAGAGATTCTTGAAATTAAGATTCTCAAACTATACTTGTACTGAAAATTATTCCGCCTTAAAATACGGCGAGAATTTATCGATCGAATTTACTTGATCGAAACATGAACTTAACATGAAATTTACTATAGAATTTAGGAATACATATATTAATTCCATAAATCCTCCATTCACAATATAACATAATATTTTCTAAGAAAATCCTTGGCTTAAAAATACATGAATTGTATTATTTAAGGTCTGGAATTTTCTCAGTCATTACAGTGTGAAACAGCTAAGGATGCATGGGAGACATTGCAAACGGCACATGAAGGTACGGCTGCCGTGAGACTCTCTAAACTTCAAATCCTTACTACAAGGTTTGAGAATCTTCGAATGCAAGAAGATGAAACAATTTCTGAGTTTAATTCAAAATTATGTGATATTGCTAATGAGGCATTTGCCCTTAGAGAGAAAATATCATAGGAGAAGCTTGTGAGGAAAGCCTTGAGGTCTCTTCCACAGAGGTTTGCTTACAAGGTGACAGCTATCGAGGAAGCCAAGGATGTCCAAACAATGAAACTTAATGAGCTAATGGGTTCTTTGCACACTTTTGAGATGAATCTGGATGAAAACAAGGAAGAAAAGAAGGAGAAAAGCATTGCCTTTCAAGCCGAAGTTGATTCTAATGATGAAGAAGACTTGGCCCAATCCATAACAAGGTTGTCAAAGAAATTCAACAAGGTGATGAAGAAGGTCAATAAGAAGAATGAGAATTCAAGAAATGGCAACTCCAGCAATTTTAAAAGAGTAAATCTGCAGCAAATAGCACATAATTGAAGACAAATAACAGAGGTATTCAATGCCGAGAATGTCATGGATATGGACATATTCAATCTGAATGCGCCAATACCCTCAAGAAGAAGAAGAAGTCGTTTAATGCAACTTGGAGTGATGAAGAGTCAGAAGGCAGTCAGGAAGATGATGAATGTGTGAGCAACTATGTTGCTTTCAATGTTTATGCTGATATGGACGTTTCTGCAGATAGTGTTACAAAAGGTGTCGTAGAAAGTGTTACAACAAATGCTGAAACAGATTTCGTGAATAATGAAAATGAGGGAGATTTTTCAGATTCTGAAAGTAACAGTGATGGTGAGGAGTTGACTATTGATGCCATACAAGAATCCTATAAGACCATGTTCAGCAAATGGGTTAAAGTGTGTGAAATAAATAAGTCTTTACGGGAGTGCGTCGATGAGCTTGTCAAAGAGAATGATGTGTTGAAGAGAGCTGCTGATAACTATGAATTTCAAGCTACTGAAAATGAGAAAAAGCTGCAGGACACAAGGGTAGAATTGGAGCGCACTCAAAAGTCACTTAAAATGATGAATTCCGGCACCACCAAACTTAATCATATTCTTTCTATGGGAAAAGCTAGTTGTGATCGTCATGGACTTGGCTACACTGGTGAATGTTCAACATCCAAGACAGTGTTTGTGAAGGAGACAACCGCTCCTGAATCTCAAATTATCCCATGTGAGAAAGTTGTTATTTCACACCCTCAACATAAGTCAAGAAGGTTTGTTCCTACATGTCACTATTGTAATTTTGCTGGCCATATAAGACCAAGATGCTACAAGTATTTAAATGCTTTGAAGAAAGGTATGCTCATGAATCCACCAAATTTCACAAACTCAAGAAGGACACATAAAGCAAAGATTAATGTGCAAAATAAATTTTCTAGACGTGTTTGGGTAAGGAAATTTGATTTAAGGTGTCATAGGGCTTGCACTTCTTTTAAAGCATGATTGTGGTAATTGTCACTCCAAGCTTTTGATAGATGATAAAAGCAATATGCATGGAAGAATATTATATTCAGGGGGAGTAAAACTCGTAGAGGACTCAGGGGGAGCGTTTTGCAGAGATCAATGACCCTGAAAGATGATCTGCAGAAAAGTGTTATATCAGGTGTTGCAACACTTTCTGCGACAACAGCTTCTAAAAGGTTTTTCTATTAATATTATTTTTAACTTTTGTTGTATTTTGTCAAAAAGTGGGAGAACTCTTAATTCAATTAACCCCCTTAGTTGGATTTTATCTTTTATTTTGTAATAGGTTCTTTTTGTTAGTAATGTTAGTTTTGTCAAAAATAGCCAAAGGGGGAGATTGTTAGTGCATTTTGTGTTGACTTATTTTTGACAAATTGGTTGTAAGATTGGCTTGCATTGTAAATTGGTAGCCCTCTTAAGGAAAGTCTTGTTGTCATGTTTATGGGTTGCAAATCAAAAGATTTGATTGCTGAAAATGAAGAGTGGACTTTTGGGGGGAATTGATTGCTTGTAATCTACAGGCTAGAGCAAGGTTGTTTGTGTGGAAAAAGGGTTGTACGCTAGGTGGTTTTGGTTTCTGAAAGACAGAGGGAAATGGGCTAAAAACAGGAAAGTCGTTGATCTTCATGTGAGAATGAGATTGTAATGTTAAGTGTCATTTGATATGTTGTGACAAATTGTTAGAACACTTTCGAGTTGGTTTTTCGGGATAAGATTTCTTTGGTTTCGGGAGGAAACCATCAAGTCGAGTGGTGCTCGCTGATTAAGCTTCCTAAGGAGATTCTAGGCAACGGCGACATTGTCAAGGAGGGAGTCGTTGAGTGTGTAAGACCGTTCGGCCCTTTGTAATCTTTTGCACTTAGTGGATTGATCACTGTCTGGGCGTAGCCCCATAGATGTAGGTGTGCGCACCGAACTGCAATATCATTTTCTGGTGTCTTTTATGTTTCTACATTATTTTTCTGCATTGCTGTTTTGCTGGTTTAATTTTAGATTTTTTATTAAAATAATGTTACAGTAAAGTGTTATAACACTCTCTGTGACACCAGCGACAAAAACAGACCTAACAAGTTCATTTCAATATGTTCAAACACCAAATTCATTTTTATAGTGAACAACATTTTTTTGGTAATACAAAGTATTATTATTACTAAGCATATAAACTATGAATTATGATATTAAGGAGGGCTATTTGTACTAGATAATTAGAATGAGGTCAGAAAAGCGTTGAACTTGTTGCCCATGAAGAAAAATGACAACTCGGAAATCAGTTCAAAATTAAACTCTAGAAGAAGCAAACTTTTAATGAAACGAGTGTTCATTACCACAAGAGAAAGCTTTCATTACCATAGAGATTAGATTGACGAAGGCAACTAAGGCATAGGAGTGCTTAATTTCCCTCAACTTTTTAAATTTGTTTTTTAACTTATATATATCTAAAGGTATCTTTGTAGATAATTAGATAGAAGTTCCCCTAAAAATTGAAAATCTAATCTTTAAAATTCTAAAACTTTAAAAAAAAAATACTACTTTCTAAAAAAAAACACCTCTAAAAATATTACTTGCTAAAAAATACTACTAATCTCAACTTTAAAAGCTTTTTATAACTAACTAAAATAAATAATACATATCTGTTAGTTTATCCTTTTAACATTAATATTAACCCTACTACTTGTTACCACTACTGTAGATAGTATATTTTCTTCCATGAATATTGTGAAGAATGGACTAAGCAATCGAAATAATGGAGATCAATTGATTGATAATCCTTTAATTATGTACATCGAGAAAATCTTCAATAACTATGACAATGCGGTTCTAAAAAATATTTATCATAATGTGCTTATATAACTAATCACTATATATAAGGGTATTGGCATCTATCAAATATGAATTTGTTGATCCGGGGTATTGTATGTAAGACACTAAAGCCTCGTTCATTTTACTAATTCGAGTTTTCAATTTCAGTTTTGCTATAATTAAAAATTCTCATAAAAAAATGATATCTAACCTTTTCTGCTACAGTTAAAAACACTCACATAGAGTTACATTTTATCTCGAATTGAAAACTCAAATCAGCGAACAGAACGAGGCCTAAGACTATGCTTGTATTTTTATTTACCAGATATTACTTTTATTAAATCACCATGAATAGAAGCCTCGTCCTTTTATTTTGAATGCTTTAAAAGAAGATACAAGTAAGACCAGGACAAGAGTGATCACCGACATCCGAGTTCAGCTCTTCCATCGGGGCTAATGGTTTTATTTGTGCAAAGCTTTTGAAGATCAACGTAGCCTATAATTGTATCCTCAAAGACTGCATCTTCTAGTTTTGCATCATCAAATGTGGAGCCTGATAGTACCGTGTTCTTGAATAAAGCTCCTTGGAGATCAGCTTTCCCAAAATTAACCCGATCTATTACTGCATTCGAGAAGTCCACACCTGCAAAAGATTTGATCAAATAAATTTTCATATTAATCAAGTAACGAAAAATAGTATATCCAAAGGTACTGAGAGGATACGTATTCTTAGGATCTTGCTTAATTTACTTCCAAATTGTTGCTTTGAGAACAAAGCTAACCTTAGCTACTTATGAGTTATGTCAAATCCTAGAGAATGTTATTTTGACTTTTCAAAGGAAGTAATGTTAGGAACACAAACTCAAATCTCAACTCTAGTGCAACTAATGTGGGCGCATGTTAGTTCTTATCCTTTTATTGGTGCAATCTTTTATTATTAATTGATGTGTTAATGTTTAAAACACCCAACAATGTAAAACTGATAACTCATATGCTACATTAGTTGGTATACAAAAGTTGAGATTTGAGTCTGTATCCCTAGCACTATTCTTTTAGTGGTCTGCACTTTTTTGGACGTCGATCCTTTTGTCAAATCATGTCAACACAACCAGATTGGTAATATCATATCTTGATATTTGGTAGCTTCCATAAATGGAAAATACTTGCACATAGTTGGGAATGCACTTGGACTCTAGTACTTTATGTTTTCCTTTGGAATCAACTGGGGGGGAAATGTAAAAAGGAATCATACGAGACATAAAATGTTTACCCTTGAAGCTAGCTCCAACAGCATAAGCCTTTGACATCACCACTTCCGTCATGTCTGCACCGTCAAATTTCGCATCAGACATGAGTGCTGCGGCTAGAGATTTCCCCTTCAAGTTGGACTTCTCATTTGAGTAGTCGCAGAAACGGAGATCTAGCGGCTTGTCATAGACACCATTTGCTTGTCCTATAGTGTTTCCAACAAAGGCTCGCTCACATCGATTTGGCTCTGTCGACAATGGAGGCAACCTCTGCAGTGCAAGACAGAAATCAATCAATCACATTGGTAAATATCAAGATAACAATCATCAATGGTATGCCATTGCAATAAAAGGTATTAGTGTATTAGTCTTCCATTTTGCATAGTTTAGTACAAACTCTAAAAGATTTTAATTATAATGAGAATGCTACGATAAGCTATTAAAAATACTTCATCGGTAGGGTTACCATATTAAACCAGTATATCTATATTAGGTTATGTTAGTTCTCTATACTATTTATTTTAATGTGATTTTAATTACATCTAATGTTAAAAAACATGAACTAATGATATGGATGCAGAAAGCTCCTACCAATCTACTTCTTAGTAAAAATTTGAGCCGCCCGGCTCAGCCCAGTCCAAACTCGACGACCCAAATTTAATAAAAATGGTGTTATGGCCGCCTCCCGCCCAAATAAGCTTTCGGACTCGAAGCCTCAGCCCAGGCTGACCCGACCAGAGGGTTTGGACCGGGATTGGGCCAAAAGGACGGGCCTCGGTCCAAACTTGCAATTCTACTTCTTACCATTTTACAAAAGATACTGGTTGCATTCATTTATGCACAAAATAACTTCGACAATTCTAAAAACTTTGATGAGACGTAAAGAAAAGTAAAAAAGGGTACTTTAAAGAATAAGGTAAAGTGTTAAAAACCTGACTAGCAGCAACAACAGGTGAGGCTGTAGTGACGGCCCAAACAGCAAGAACTCCACAAGCCACATTCTTAAGCTGCTTTGTAGGAGACATATTATTGTTTTCCTTCAGTTCTGGACCATCCCTAGAAACTTCTCCAAATTACACAAGCATAAATTGCCTCTATTAGTTTGCACAACAACGAAATGCACAAAACTAAGCTGATTAACACACCAAAAAAAGTAAAAAACGAAAACAAATTGACCGACCCAAAACAGAAAACGGTTGTAATTGTAATTTTCTGAGAAAAAACTTGGAAGTTTGAAGGCAATTACCGGAGCAAAAAACACGAGGAGATGAATAGGACTCGACTGGTAGGAGAGCATGGCGTTTCGATGGTTTGAAACGGAGACGAAAAACATTCTGGTTAAGAGGAATTGAACTTGTTGCTGCCATTTTTTTTTTCTTCTTCTTTCTCGTCGCTCTGCGATTGAATTTTCTTTGTTCACATCTTCTTATCCATAATACATTGGTTGTTCTGGTCAGTTCTTTTGGATCGCAATACATGATGTGGCATGACACGTCGGATGTCACGTTTGCAGGATGTTTGGATGTTGATAAGTAGTAAGCTTATCTGGTTGACGATTTTTCAATAAAAAAAGGAAAAGAAAAAAGGAAATTACCACTTTTTCCTTTTAAAAAATAAAAAATAAAAAAAAAAGAGAACTTACCATTAAGACGCGTTTAGGGCGCGTTTATTAATTAAAAATTTCATTGTAGAAGGGGTGGTTTTATTCACACACTGCTTCTTATTTTTTACACTCTTTTTTAATTATAATTTTTTATTTAAAAAGATTCTCATATAAAATGATAAAAAAAGATAAAAAGGTAGTTTTATTCACACACTCTTTTTTACTCTCTACACTTCTTTTTAATTATAATTTCTTATTAGAAAAGACTCTCATATAAAATGACAAAAGAAGGATGATTTCAATAGACTTAATGTAGTGACCAAGAAAATCTCATAATTTAAATAATGCAATTCATGTATTTAAGTCAAGAATTTTTTCTGAAAAAAAAATATATATTATGTATATTTTGTGATTGAAGGATTTATGAAATTAACATATGCATTCCTAAATTTGTAGCAGATTTCATGTTAAGTTCATGTTTTTGCGATCAAGTAAATTCGATCGATAAATTCTCACCGTACTTTAAAACGAAAGAATTTCCAGTACATATACAGTTTGAGAATCTTAATTTCAAGAATCTCTAAACACAATACGAACTAGCATCCAGTACACATACAGGAGAAAATAACAGTCAGTATAATTTTAAACAGTTTCAAAGAGAAACTTAAGAGAGTGGACAAAAGTACAAGGGGTAGGTGATATTTTTTTCTCTCTCTCCTTCTCCACTTGGCCGGCCATGCATAGTAAAATTAGAGCCAAATTTTAGCTAGTTGAGTGTGCTAGAGGATTACATGGTAAGGTGTGATGGGATGGTAGTGGTTGAAGGGGAAATTATGGCATGCTTGCTCCTGCTTTTCTCCATCTATAACCGGCCATGCACAATGAAATTGGAGCCAAACCTTGGCTAGTTGAGTGTGCTAAGAGGTTTCATGTTAAGGGGGATGTGATGGTAGTGGTTGAAGGGGAAATCATGGCATACGTGCTCCATCTCTTCTCCACCTAGAACCGGCCAAGAATGGGGGATTTGAACTAAAAATTTAGTTGACTAATGGAGTGGAGTTGGGGTTAATTAAATGATCACAAACTTGTCTATAAAAGGAACCATCATAGGATAGGTCTTATTTTTCTCTTTGCTTTTCTCTCCACCCCAAAACCAGCCACACACCCATACTCTCTCAAAAAAAAAAAAAAATTTCTCTCATTCTCCTAACCTTAAGCCACTAGCAAACAATAGAACGAGAAGGAGATCAAAGGATTCTAGGAGGAGTCTAGTCAAGTATTTCTCCAAGGGTATAAATTCTAAATCCTCTCTTTCTTGTGTTTTAGTAAAGTTTGAAATGTAGAAATATTCTTCTCAAATTTCCTTATACTCTTCTAGTTCCAAGCCATTAACAAATATTATAGGAGATCAAAGGTTTTCAAGCGAGAGAGTTCTTTAAGGGTAAGTTCTTAAACTCTTCTCCATTATCTTCTAGCCAACCTTAAGCTTGAATTTATGGATGTAATTTGTCGTTCTTGAGGAGATAAATCGTAACAAGGGTGTGTGAGTTTTATGTTGGTTTTGTGAGTTCTGAGGTTAGATTCATTAGCAATATGTGGTATGTTTATACATGGTTGAAGTTGCTTATTTTTGGGTTAGAGGAAAAAAATGTTTCCGGTTACTTTGAACACGAAAATGAGGACCCAAGAGCAAGATTTTTCGTTGTTTCAAAGCTTGAACTTATAGCTCTCTAGGTTTGGAACATTTTTTGTGACTATGACAAAATCCAACTTTAACTCTAAAAGTAAGTTTGAAGCCATTTTTACAAAAACGGACAGGCTGTCCAACACAATTCAAAAAAAAAAAAACTTGCAGCCACTGGTTCAGCCAAACGAGACCTCTAGAAGCTGAATCTCAGGTTTTTTTTAAAAAAAAATAATTTTAGATTTCGACGAGACGAAGAACTTTCATGAAGAACAGATTTTCAAAATCCTACTCTGCGATGTAGTAAAACACAGATTTCTGAAATGGCACAGTTTTTTACTACAACAGTTTCAAGAAAAACAGCAGCCATTGTTTTCAGCCAAACGAGGCCTTTAGAGGCTGAAGTTCAACTTTCTCCAAAAATAATAATTTTAGATCTCGACGAGACGAAGAATTGTCACGAAGAACAAATTTTTGAAATCCGAATCTAAGATGCAGTAACACATAGATTTCAGAAACTGCACAGTTTTAAAGAAACAAAACTAACACAGTGTGGGTTTTAACCCAAAAAAAATTATTATCAAAGAGCCCGAGATGTGATTTCAGTAAAATACTACGGTGCTAAACCTCATTTTAATAGAAGTATTCGTAAAGAAAGTTTTTAAGAACAATGCTTCCTTTTAAAAAAGAATTTAGTGGGTTACCGAGCAAATCATCCCGACGGGCACATACGAGCCCAATACGATAGGTCCTTAAAGTTTCAAAGATTTGATGTGGGTCCATCACCCGCATTAATTTAAGAAATTCCGTTGAAGTATAAATTTCAGCTGTTTAAGAGTTGGAATGCCATGTATAAGTTCTAGGCCGAATTGGGCCTTAATAGCATAACAGAGGAAAATTAAGGAAAATAAGATTTTGAGGATTTAATAAATTGATCCTTATTATCCTTTAGTAAATGAGAGGAATATATGCCTTAAGAAAATGGTTAGATTTTCGTTCATAAGTTCCTAAAATAGAATAGCAAACGACAGTTAATCTCACACTCTTAATGGGTGTTCATTTTCAGAAGTAAGCAAGTAAGAGACTAGGCTGTTTGGCGAAAAGGGAATTCCAGCTCTGAAAATCAAGTAAGTAGGAATCTCACCTACAGTATAAATGGATTTCAAAGTGAACAGCACACATGAATTATATATGTTTGAGTACATTTAATGTTATGTATGCTATGTTATGTTATACTACATACACTTAAGCAGTACGCATGAACTATATGTGTTCGAGTATATTCCATGATATAGTATGCTATGTTAGGTCATATTGCATACACCTAGGTCATATTGCATACACCTTAATAAGTCAAGAGGAACTTATAAGAATAATCTCAGTTGAGTACTGAACCAGCCTCCGCAAGGGAGGTAACTCTGTGACAACCATCAATCCCTTGAGACACAAGGCCAAGAAAGGGTAAGTTGTGCAGTCTCATATCCGCAAGGGAGAAAAGAAAGAAAAAAATATATATAATAATGTCCTCCGCAAGGGAGGCATTCAGTTCAATTATAATCACGGTGTCATGGAGGACCTTGCAAACCCTCACGTCCCGATGATTGCGCGCAAGTGGTACGAGCACTCGGACCCAAATGAAAAGAAAAGAAAGAAAAGATAAGATAAGATAAGCTAATAAGATTCTGATAAGACATCATAATTAAGCATAATTGGCTCATGCATATTTATTCATGTGAACTTACAATTATTTTGCGAGAAGTAGTTCCTACTTGCTGAGCAAAAGCTCATTATAAAATGTTTATATTATAGGTAAGCAACCGGCATATAATGCCTGATGGGCTGACGGCGAGTGGATGAAGCATGTGGAGATCGGGAAATGGATACCGCTCATAAATATTTTCGCAATCAGCTTTATGTTATAAATAGTTTTGCTAATGATGATTCTGAAACTAAATGTTAAATGGTTCTGAGGATTATGGCTATTAGTAAGTAAGGCTTAAAGAGTAGATATATACATATACATATATTTATATGCTTTGAGAAACAGACATGTTAAGGTTTGAACATTTTGATTAAGAAAGCAATTTGTATCTTATGCTTACTATAAGACTTTCTTTAAAAACAAAAAACAAAAAAACATTCCGCAAATTTTAAGAAATTTCAGTAAGTACAAGTTAAAATTCAGCTACAATGACGGCCACTTAGGAGGGTCGTCACACTTAATTACATAATTAAATTTTATTATGAAAAATAATGATATGTTATTTTTTCCCCTTCATGTCATATTCTCAAATTACAAACAATTGCTATTTTAAAATCTATGATAAAACTTTAATTTTTTTTTTCCATTCAATAGCAATTCCAAAAAAGTCACATAGAGGTATGTTAAATTTTCTTTGCTATTTCTTCTATGATGATTGTTCTTTTGCCTTTTCTTTTCTTCATTTTGTGTTAATGTTTTTTATATTTCTATTTTTTTTAAAAGGGCAAATCATTTTGTTTTATTTTTTTCATTTCTTATAAAATAGAATTGATTTTTTTTTTCATTTTGTTCTTTTTTTATGCTTGTTATGCTCGTCTATATATTTGTTTTTCATTCTTTTTTATTTTGTATTTTTAATCATACCTCAATAATATAATAACTTTGTTGCCTTATTTTTAATTTATCTTTTTTGTTTTTTGATTATATTACTTTCCATTTTATATTTTTGAGTGTCCTTTATATTTTCTAAAAAATATATTTTAATAATTTTCTTCCTATACAAAAAAAAAAAGTCATGCCTAAAGCTTCAACTAAAAAATAGAAAAATATATAAATGATAATATTAAAATAAAATAGTGGGTGTAAAAAGAAAAATGATAAAGAATTAAAATCCTATGAAAATAGTTTGGGGTAATTTTAGAATAACAAGGGTATGTAGAAAGTAGAAGTGTAAGTTTGAGCTGTCTGGCCCAGATTGGAGAAATTTTGAGTCAGGCGGCCCTAAAAGAGAGAGGGTCGGCCCAGTCCGACCAGACCCGAAATTTTATAAGGCATTTAAAAAAAAATCTTTAAAAACATGATGTTTGAACTGGGTCGGCTTATCCCTAAAAGAGAAAGGGTCAAACCAGCCCGACACTAAGCCTAAAAAATTTAGGGCTCAAAATAATGTCCCATCCCCTAACAAATCTGAGAATGAAACCCCATTAAAATTTTTAGACTGAGACAACCATAAAGCAGCAACCCAGTAAATGATTCTATCCCAAACTTCGGTAAAGTTTCCTCAAGCGTCCTCAAAGACACGATTATTCCTTTCTAATCGCAGAGTGCATGTAACAATAAGTACGGCAACATTCCACAATCTCTTTATATTCTTTGATCTTCCAAATAGAAAGTCACTGCCAAATAACTCTGAGATTCTGTTAGGGACTGCCCAAACAACTCTAAACTTCTCTAAAACACGATACCAAATGCTCATCGAGAAAGGACAGTGAAGGAAACGATGATTACCTGTCTCATTAGTGTTTCTGCAAAAACCACACCAGCTAGGAGATAGATGCAGATATCGCTTTCTCCTTTGCAACAAATCATTAGTGACACAAGCAGCCAATTAAAAGTGTTTACTTTAGCGGGAACTGAAGGCGCTCCAAATAACCAAAAGCTCCATGATTTCACCCAATTCTCTATCACTAGGCTCCCTCCTAAAATGAAAATTTCAAGACACGAGTTTCTTAATAAGTGGGAATTTATATCTCACTTTCTATTTACAGAATTTAATTTTTTTTTCTCTAATAAATAAGAACTAATTTATTTATTTATCAACTTTATCCTATTAAGTTAGTTATTCACTTAATAGAAGAGTATTTTGCAAGCACATTTATTATATTCTTTTTTTTTTAAAATTTTTATATAACTAAACAACATAATATGTTTTGGTAACTTAATTCCTAGATATATTATTAGTAAACACATTAATTCTGAAATTTAATTTCGTGGAATTAGTCTCCTTTTTCTTTAGAATCTATTTCCTATTTTTTCAATTCCTAATTAACAGTGCTGTTTATCTTCTCCCATCTCTCTTCTCTTCTCTTCCGAGCCCCCCTGTCTCTCTCTCTCTCTCTTCCATGGAGAACTAAGGCACGAGCACGTGCGAAAAAGATCAACAGAATGGCGAACTGGTTGTGGCCACCTACGTTGCGTCGGCGTTCTTCGCGTCTCTTGAGCGCTGCTCCTACATTGAGGGTTATTTTTCTTCTTCACTCTAAATATTTTGAGGGTCGAGAATGATAAAAAGCCCTCACATGTTTTAGTCATGGATCATCGTGGAATTATAACCCTCAAATAGGGATTTCAACACAAATGACCTTTTTTGGAGGATGTTTTTCATAAATGGCCGAAGTTTTACAAAATTGTGAAATGGCCGTTCTCATTAACTTAGTGGTCAATTATTGATTGACTTAGTAGTCAATTCTTGATTGACTTAACAATCAATTATGATTAACTCTAATTTATCACTGATTAACTCAATTATTTTTTATTATTAATCAACATTAGTTAATAATTAATCAAAATTAATTCATAATTAATCAATTTTAATCAATAAATTACATGTTTATTAATTATAAACCATTGATAAATTAATAATGAATCAGAAAATCACAGATTGATTATGGTCCATAGGTCAACCACTGGCTCATTTAAAAATGCTATTTTCGTAAAATAAAAAAAGTTCGGTCATTTATGAAAAGAGGTGGTTAAAAAAGATCACCCAACATAATTTTCCACCCAGCATAATTTCCCCCTCAAATATTGAATAAAAAACATTTCTCTTGTAAGTTTATAATCTGGGGGTGCTTCGCTGTGAAATCTTGAGGACATGGTTACTTGAGAAAGAATACTTGGCAGCTTGTTTAGAAGAACCCCATTTCACCTTATGTAGATTTCCAGAGAAAATAAAGAATAAATAAAACTGCATTGGGTAAGATATGGGTTGACAAAACTAGAAGAATTGTTCCTAGGAGATTAAAAAAAAAAAAAAGAAGCTAGATGATATTCTCAAATCTTCAGCTGAAAGCTAGATGAATTGCCGGCGATAATAGTTCTCAACCACTTTGAAAACTCCACAAATTGTAGAAAAGGCATTCATTCATTGACCCTTTATAGTTTGCTTGGGAAGAAGAAAAAGATAATCGCAATTTATGGCTGAATGAAATTCAAAGGGATGGCAATGGGGCAGGTTGACCTTTCCCACAACCGGCACCGTTTTGTGAAGGCCTCGTCCCGTCCCGTCCTTGCACCAATTTACCGTTAAGGGAGGCGTCACGGGTTCAGGCAACTTGCGAATCACCCGTTAACCCATTTACAATAATTCAAGAAAAAAAAAATACAGAAAGGGGGAAGTGGGGGAGTGAAGAGTAGTAATAAAGGTAAGAGTAATGCCTTTATTGTTTTTGCTTCTAAATGAATAAAGGAAAGTCTAGTATGGCAACATATTAAATTATATGCACAATTACACGAGTTAATTTTGAAGGACATCCGAACCCGTAACGGGGGACCCAGGAAACAAAAATCAGGTATAACCCGCCCCGCTAGGGATCAAGGCCTGCGGGGTTTGTGGGTGAAATTGTCATTACAAGCTCTGCATTGATTAGGCTCTATAGTAGGCCTAGTGATTGTGATTTCTATGAGGTTTGGATCGTGGGGGAAACATTGGAAAGGATTATACAAAATCAGGTAATATTAGAAAACAAATTATGGATTGCCTATTCACTAATCACGTAATTTCAATCTGAATCTACGATTGTATGAACATTTCTTTCCTGACTAAAAAATTTCAACATATAATTGCTTATTCATTCTGACATTACATTTTACCTTGTCTAATCTTGCTTATGTTAACAGTTTTTGACAAAGTATATTATTATACCAAAGAATGAGAAGGTAGTTGACTGAATATTTGAAAAGAAAAGTCATTCCAACAAATTACTGCAAGCAAATCAAAACAAGAGATTCTATAGTCCTACAACAGATGGACTCAACCACATACTAACAAATACAAGTAGTATATTACTTCTCTTTTTTATTTACTTTTCAGGCAGGACTTAGTACTCAGTTCAATTGCTGACGCGTTTGAGCAAAACAAACAGATTAATTGAATTTTGTGGTTCAAAGACGGAGAATGAATTTTCCTCGAATTTCTTGTGTAATAAATCAAATAGCTAATCTAAAATCTCCTCTCCAAAATGCTTCTTTATGGTATTCTCTGAGCCAGATCTCATGCTAGAAGTAAACGCTTTGAGTTGAGGCTTTTCTTGGGGTACGATCTCCATCATTTCGATGCTGAAACATCCGTTTTGTCTCACTGCTGTTTCAACTTCTTGGGGAGATGCAAAATATAGTGGGAAGTTTAAAGAATCTACCTTCTCACTACTGATCTTACCCTGCAGATAGAACATGTAAGAAAAAGCAGATGGAACTTGTAAGAAACTATATAGGATCTCAAATTTGAAAGAATGTAAATTAATGTTCTCAATATTGCAATTTGTAATTTCATGAGTATAAGAACATTCATGCATTGAGCCAGTCTCTAAATCCGCAAGCTACTTGAAAATATTTTTTCAAAGTTAACTTTTGCTATCCACTGAGTTAATTTTTGCACAATAGATGTAAGTCTTTTTTTTAATTTTATATATATATATATATCGTGCTTTTCAATTGTTCAAATTACACTTATGCACTCTTAACTTAACATCATTTGCATGTTACACCCTAAACTTTAATTTTGGTGTTCAAGACCCAAATTTGATAACCTTTGGCAGTGTAGTTCAATCAATAACGGACATCAACTAATGGACTGCTTAGGGTCCGAAATGTTAAAATTAAAGTTCATAATCCAACTTGTCAACCCAGAAAAATTTGGTGTGCATTTGTTCAAATTTCTAGTGCAATTTTTGTCAATAAATGGGCGTCTGTTAGATGTTGGGCCACAATTACAACAAAATTAAAAAATTATGGCCTTATGTACCAAAATTAACAATTTAGAGTTCAAATTACCAAATGCTTATAATCCAGGATGCACCAAAACCTTATTTGGATTTTTTTTTTTTTCCTATAAATCTCAGAGTTTATTCATTTAACTTTTTAGTTAATCAAAATTTAGATAGTCTTAAATGCTCAGAGTTATGCGATTATTGATAAGTTGGCTTGTCAAAGGGAAGTATTGTTTACTACTCTTTTAAAAAACTTATGAGAAACCTTGACTTTTTCAGAACCTAGATAATAGCCCGTCTAGTTAATAGTTTTGAACAAATATTTTTTTTTTTTTTTTTTTTTTTTTTGCGGAAGAGAGCAGTTTAGCAAAAAGTTTTGAACCGTGGTTCAAACCGTCGAAACAAACAAGTTATACATTGCGAACGTTATGTTTAGTAAAACTCTAGGGTACGTTGTGTATTTTTTCTATATTTGAAATAAAAAAAGATTTTCCAACATAGCATATACAATAAATTTTCATTACCTTGTTTGCCATGTCCATGAGGCATGATCCCAAAAGTTCACAAGATTTGTTGGCAAAAACTTCCGAATGAGGACGCCCGTCAGGTCGGCCAGGAATGATAAAGGCCATTAGTCCTCCGTGGACAATCTCCTCTGCTCTGTGTTTGAGAAAGTTTTCCATGTCCTTGGCATATTGAGCTGTGTAAGCCTTGACAACTTCATCTGTAGAGTTTGAGTAGTGGATCCTGCCTTTGTTCCAAGCAGGTGATCTCTTGTTCTCAACCTCTTTTGGCACTCTAGAAAGAATTTGGACAGAATATGAGGAGTGCACAAAGTGAAGGAAGGCCCTCGGAAATAATCGATCTTGGAAAGATCCTGGCACACCCGCGGCAAAGTATCGCCTTTTTGGCGGGAGACTGACGAAAAGCGGGTTGAAATCGTTTGCAGCATGATCGTTGAAGAATATATGAAACTCAGGACATTGAGAACTTTTTCCCTGGTTTTGATACTTTATTTCTACAGCATCAATTATGTTTTGCACTGCTAGGAATGTGTTAGGCCCAGCGGCGCACCCCAAATCAGCAATACGGAAGGTGTTTGAAGATGAAATGATATCGATGTCAAGTTCCACAGCAATTGCCTTGTTGATGTGTTCTCTTTCAGCATCTATAGCTTCTCTCTACAATTTAAAAAATTGGGTTATCAAATATATCCTATTCCTCAAAACGATCATATCAGGTGCAAATGCAAATGTTAATGCATTATTTTGTGCAAAAATATGAAAAGTAATATGTTTGATATGACGGTTTAGTTTGAAAAGTAAAATAAAATTTTGGCATTGGATATAAGATATGCTCGGATCATGCTTTTCTATTGTAATGGTTAGTATGCTCTCTCTGCATTTCAGACTCCAAAGAGGCAAATAGATTGTTTAAAGTCTAGAGAATTACATATTTTTTGCTTGTGTTGTGTGAAAACATTGTGGGATGTTGGCTGCCATATATTTTCTAATTAACTTTTTCTTTCATTTGGCTGTTTTGTCTCTTAGTTGAATATTTATCTAAAAACTTACCTAAAAACCCTCTTTTCTTTTATCATTAACTAGTTGAAGCCACTTACTATGGGGTTAATTTTGTAAGTCCGATCATTGTATTATGTTTTAATTATTGTGTTATTGCTTTTATTTTTTTTATAACTGAAATCTTAGTTAGTTGTTAGTTAATACACAATTAATACCAAAAAAATTATTTCACTAGAACAACTAGGAGAAAAAATATTTATGAGGATCATATTTGAAAGAAGGAAATAAATAAGAATGTATAGCAGGGACAAATGATAAGATTAAATAAGAGTGAGACAAAAAAAAAATTGAGGGATTAAAGAAGCAAATGAAAAGGGGAAGGAGGACTCAAAAAAAAAGGAAGAAAAGCAAAAAAAAAAAAAACGAAAAAAAAGGAACATAAAGAAAAAAGAATATATAATGGTGAAATGATAAGATTAAATATAGGTATGTTTGGTAGGAGGGAGCGAGAGGAGTGGAGAGAGAGTGAATTTCTTGTTTGGTACGGAGAAGAGGATGGAGAGAAGAGAATGAGGGAGAAACACTCTCACCGGCCTACCATTTTGTATCTTTCTATTGATAAAATGATCCTACCAATTCACCCAAAAATTAAAAAATAAATAACTTTTTTACCCTTTAAAAGTAATTATTAACAAATTGTAAAATGAACAATATAGTAATTAAATAAAATACTATCATATATCTTTTTAACTCTCCCTACCTCCTACCAAATAACATAAAGAATTATTATAATGTTCTCTATTCTTCACATTCTCCATCTTCCAACACTCTCTATTATTCCTCTTCTCCATCCCTCCTACCAAATAAAAGAGTGAGAGAAAAAATAAAAATGGAGGGACTAAAGAACCAAATATAAAAGAAAGGAGGATCCGGGGAAAAAACAAAAAAACAAAAGGAACAAAGACAAAAAAATAAATAAATAAATAAAGACAAAAAATAAATAAATAAAAAAGTGGGACTAAGATGATAATAGGATTAAATAAGGGTCAGAAGAAAAACAAATACTAGGGACTAAAGACGCAAATGAGAAAAGTACGGGGCGGCCAAGGAAAAAAAAAAACCAGAATCATAAACGAAGTGGGACGAAAGGAAGGAAGTCCCCATTGGATCTTTTTATACTCTCACGACAATATAACACTCCACAGATTATGTTCGGATGAAGAAAAAAAGAAACTAGGAAAACAAACAAAAAAGAAAAAAAAAAAGATGTGACATTTGAGTTAACCTGAAAATCAGAGTTCTTGCTATAGCTATAAAGACCGCTTCCTCCGTTCATTGTATATGCTTTCCCTTCTGCTTCTGCCATCTTTCTAATTCTGCCTGTTACTCTATGTTGAACAAAATCTACTCACCATAGGTCTTTATATACACGGATTTGATCGCTATGACTTTTTATTAGGATTTTAGGAATAATAGTTTTCATAAACTTGAATATTTTTCCTTTACTAGTTTGCTATGCCAGCTGGCATATTCTGTTTTGTTTTTCTGTTTTGCTCTATCAGTCTTGGGATATGCGAGCTTTCCTATTTAGCTCTATATATTCCTTCCGTTGCAATCTTCTTAAGGTTAATGAGAATATGAGATTCTTCCTCAATCTTTTTCTCTAATATGGTATCAGAGCAATACCCTTATGTTGCTCCTTCTTCTTCTTCTTCGTCTTCCTCCTTTTTTTGAGAATGACTCGTGGAGGGCAGAACAACAACAACAACAACAATCAGTTTCAGCCACTCACTCCTCCCTCATCCTTTGCTACGGCATCTGTTCCAGATCCAGCTCCAATGGACAATATTCACAGTCCGTTTTTTCTTCACAGTGGCGACCATCCTGGTATGACCCTGGTTTCTCATGTTCTCACCAGCCCAAACTACAATACTTGGAGTCGTGCGATGCTTATGGCGCTCAATGCCAAAAACAAACTCGGTTTTGTTGATGGCACTCTTCGGCAGCCAAACCCAGAAGCTCCTTCAGCCAATATATGGTATCGATGTAACAGTATGGTTACATCCTGGCTTCTTAATGCCGTCTCAAAGGAGATAGAAGATAGTCTCCTTTATCTAGATAGTGCCCACGCAGTCTGGTCAGATCTCCATGAAAGATTGCGTCAGAGTAATGCCCCATGAATTTTCCAGATCAAACAGCAGCTCCAAAGTTTATCTCAAGGTTCGATGGACATTAATACATACTACACTCGGCTGAAAATCCTTTGGGATGAACTTAAAAACTTTCAGCCAGTGCCTGTTTGCCAATGTGGGGGGATGAAGGCTTGGATGGACTATCAACAACAGGAGTATGTCATGCAATTTTTGATGGGGCTCAATGAATCCTATGCTGCAACCAGAGGTCAGATTCTGAAGCTTGACCCATTGCCTCCTGTGGCGAAGGTGTTTAATCTTGTTGTCCAAGAAGAAAGGCAACGTTCCATTGGTCCGGGTTCTTCAGCTCCGGCAGATTCTTTGGCCTTCAACGTTTCTTCCTCTTCTCCGCCCCTACTGCCAACTCCGGTGGCACCTCTGGCATCTGCATCCCCCTCACAGCACAAACCTCGGCGAGAGCGGCCCATCTGTTCGCATTGTGGTCTCACAGGGCACTCAGTGGATCGGTGCTATAGGCTGCATGGTTTCCCACCGGGTTACAAGCCCAAGCCCAGGGCCCAAGCCCATCAGAACTCTCTTCAATCCACATTTCATTCCACTCCTGCCTCTGAGAACCCTAGGGTTCCTTTTTCTGCACCAACAGCTGCCATTACAACTGCCTTTTCTCCACTGCCTCGCCAGCCACCTCTACCTGCCTCAATCACGTCTTCTGGGCAGCTCTCCTCTGATCAGATGCAACAATTGATTACTTATCTCAGCTCGTAGCTTCACGTTCACAGTACTACCTCCTCTGAATCTCCTTCGTTCATAGCACCCTCCATTTCACACATCCATGGTAATTTTTCTTCTGCTCTCTCTATATCTCATCCGACTATTCCTTCCAACACTTGGGTAATTGATACTGGTGCCACACATCACGTATGTAGTTCACTTTCGATGTTTACAAATTCCATACCAGTGCACAATAACACAACCATCACTCTTCCTAATGGTCACAAAGTTCACATCAATCGGGTCGGCACTGTTCGATTATCCAATTCTCTGGTCTTACATAATGTTCTTTTTGTTCCCCTGTTTTCCTTTAATCTTCTGAGCGTCAATGCACTCACCATCAGCCATAACTGTTGTGTTAATTTCCTATCTCATTCGTGCATCATCCAGGACCTCACTCGGGGCTTGACGGGAAGGGTAGACGCCACGACAACCTTTACTTTTTTTAACTAGGGACACCAGTTTGTAATTCTCTGTTTTCTTGTTCTGTAGTTTCCAAAACTGATGTATGGCATTATCGCCTTGGATACCCCTCGCATGTTAAAATTCAGACTCTTCATAATGAATTACAAATTCCTGGCTCACTTTCTCATTTATCTTCACACTGTCGTATCTGTCATTTGGCTAAGCAAAAACGGCTTCCATTTATTTCTCACAATAATATATCTGCAAAACCTTTTGATTTAGTTCACATTGACATTTGGGGCCCTTTTAATGTTGAAACACTTGCTGGTCACAAGTATTTTCTCACTATAGTCGATGATTGCACTCGTGCTACTTGGCTTTACCTTTTACGAGCCAAGTCTGATGTTTTCACTGTTTTTCCTAATTTCTACACTCTTATTCAAACTCAATATGGTCTCACAATCAAGTCTGTTCGTTCTGACAATGCACCTGAGTTAGCCTTTATTGATTTTTTTCGTTCCAAAGGGATCATTCCGTACCATTCTTGCATTGACACGCCGGAACAAAATTCGGTGGTTGAACGTAAACACCAGCACATCCTCAATGTGGCTCGTGCTTTACTTTTCCAATCTTGTGTTCCTCTTTGTTATTGGGGTGAATGTGTCTTAACAGCAGGTTTTTTAATTAATCGCATACCATCCCCTTTGTTATCCAACAAAACCCCTTTTGAACTTTTAAACAACAAAAAACCATCCTATGCTCATTTGAGGACTTTCGGTTGTCTTTGTTATGGTTCCACTCTTCCTAGTCAGCGTACAAAGTTCTCTTCCCGTGCTCGCGCCTCTGTGTTTTTAGGCTACCCCTTTGGATACAAGGGTTACAAGCTGCTAGACTTAGAAAGTAATAAAACCTACATCACTAGGAATGTTACCTTTCATGAGACCATCTTCCCTTTTAATCAAACACAACCCGGCCATGTCCTCCATGACTTTTTCAGTGACCGTGTCCTGCCTACTCCTATTTCCAGTATACCACCTTCACACCATACTCAGGTTCCCTCCAGTCCACCTTCTCCATCTGGCCCCTCTACTCCTACTTCTACCTCCCCTTTATCTCGTCCCCATCGTGTCTCTAAACCACCATCCTACCTGAAAGATTACCATTGTTCCTTGGCTGCCAATTCCTCCTCTGTTGCAAATGTCCCCTCTTCCGTCTCCACTTCCTATCCTATCTCTGCCTGCCTCAATTACCACAGGTTATCTTCTCCCTATCGTCACTACATCTTGTCTATTTCCTCCCATACTGAGCCTGTGTCTTTTTCCCAAGCCTTTGAGATTCTGATGGCGTGATGCCATGAACGTGGAGCTGCAGGCCTTGGAAAGTAATGGAACCTGGTCCGGTGTTCCTCTTCCTCCTGGCAAACACTCTGTGGGCTGTAAGTGGGTGTACAAAACTAAATTTCACGCGGATGGTACTGTGGAACGACATAAAGCTCGTCTGGTGGCCAAAGGGTTTACACAATAAGAAGGTATTGATTTCCTTGACACTTTTTCCCCTGTGGCTAAGCTTGTTATTGTAAAAGTTTTACTCTCATTGGCTGCCATTTCGGGCTGGTCTCTCACTCAATTGGATGTCACCAATGCCTTCCTCTATGGTGACCTCACAGAGGAAATTTATATGGCTCTCCCTCTTGGATATCCTTGTCGACAAGGGGAGTATTTACCCTCTAATGCAGTTTGTCGCCTTCATAAATCCATATATGGGCTGCGACAGGCATCTAGGCAATGGTTTCACAAATTCTCCACTGTTTTGCTTGAGGAAGGCTTCACTCAATCTACTTGTGATCACTCTCTGTTCATTAAGTCACATGGACAACCTTTATGGCACTTTTGGTGTATGTAGATGATATTATCATCACAAGTAATGATCAAGCATCCGTGGATGATCTCAAGTCTGCACTTGGTAAGCGGTTTAAGATGAAAGATTTAGGAGTTCTAAAGTATTTTCTGGGTTTGGAGGTTGCTCGTTCAGTCGCTGGAATTTCCATTTGCCAGCGCAAATATGCTCTGGAGCTACTTTCTGATGTGGGGTATCTAGGATGTAAACCATCCTCTATCCCTATGGATCCAAACCTCAAATTGTCAGCCTCTGAAGGTGAGTTGCTACCTGATCCCACTAGCTACCGCCGCTTGATTGGGAAGTTGATATACCTCACCATCACAAGGCCTAATCTCAGCTACTCAGTTAACCGTCTCAGCCAATTCTTGGCTACTCCTCGTGCTCCACATCTTCAAGCAGCCCTCCGTATTCTGCAGTACATCAAGAAGACTCCGGGCCAAGGTCTTTTTTTTCCTTCAAACTGAACAATCCAGCTCAAAGCATTTGCGGATGCTGATTGGGGTACATGTCCCGATACACGGCGTTCCCTCACTGGATACTGTGTATTCCTTGGTTCTTCTCTTGTGTCTTGGAGGTCCAAGAAACAGCAAGTTGTTTCTCGATCTTCAGCTGAAGCTGAATATCGCTCTATGACTAACACTACTTGTGAGATTGTGTGGTTGCTCTGTCTTCTTTGCGAGTTGCATGTTCAACATCATGGCCCGGCTTTGCTTTACTGTGACAATCAAGCCGCGCTTCACATTGCAGCCAATCCCGTCTATCATGAGCGTACAAAACATATAGAGATAGACTGTCATCTCGTGCGTGAGAAGATGCAGGATGGGATCATCATAACCATGCATGTCTCCACTCAAAATCAACTAGCGGATCTGCTCACTAAAGCATTGCATCCTTCACAGTTTCACCTTCTTTTGGGCAAGATAGGAATCCAAAATTTATATTCTCCATCTTGAGGGGGAGTATTAGGATTTTAGGAATAATAGTTTTCATAAACCTGAATATTTTTCCTTTACTATTTCGCTATGCCAGCTGGCATATTCTGTTTTGCTCTATCAGTCTTGGATATGTGAGCTTTCCTATTTAGCTCTTTATATTCCTTCCGTTGTAATCTTCTGAAGGTTAATGAGAATATGAGATTCTTCCTCAATCTTTTTCTCTAATACTTTTCTACAAAACGAATTCTATCAAGTTGGTAATAATATATGAAAATGAATCTAATGTGAAAGGTAATAGGATCGGAAAGAAAAGAAAATTAATAAGAATAAGTAGTATTGATTTATTTTTAAGTGTTTACTTAACTTTAAATTGTATAATGAAAAATAACTTCTTTTCTTTTCACTGTATATTAAAATTAAGAATAACAATATTATCAATGTAATTATTAAAAAAATCATTTTACAAATTAAGTAATCATTGACTATTACTAAAAAGTCTTTTTACAAATTAAGTAATTATTGACTATATTACAAAATTCGGCATTAATTCCCTTTGAGAAAATCAATACCAGGCGATGCAAAATTCGGCATTATTTTAACGGTAATCATATTTATCAAACAGCCACATAAAGTAATGGTTATTTTAAGGATAAAATTTTGACAGTATATCTGATGACTAATTGAACAAAAATTCAATAAAATATTGTGGTAGTCAAAAGGACGCGAAATGTCTTTTGCTTCTCGAATCAGTGCTTCAAGATGCGGATCCCCTATCCAAATATTCCAATCCCAGTAAGCCACCTTATTTGAAAGTTCTACCAAAATGAAAAAGTCATTAGCTTATTTTTTAGACAAATTACACGGGTTCCTCCTAAATATAGCCCTTATTAGAAAATATCCCTTAAACTTTAATTTGTAACTTTAATTTTTATAATTTTAAGCTTTAATAAAATTAATTGATTAAAACTCTTTAATTAATTAATTAATTCTATTAATTCTAATGTTACTCCACTATAAATTTTGAATTATACTCTCGTAAATATAGATATAAATTTACTTTCAAGTAATGAAGTGTCCATTTAATATAATCATTACATATAGATCAATCCCCATAAATAATTCATAATTAGAGCTAGGTGAAATCCATAAACCTCTCTAATTATGTCTTTATCCTTAAATACCATTGATTCTCTAATGGATAGTGATTCATAAAATAAATTCATGAATCAGAGATTCTACTAATCCAAGTACCAAATCAACCCTCAAGAGAATTATTTATATGCTTCTTTCTCATGAAGAAATGGATTTCATCTCGTATATTAGCGATCCCAACTATTTACATGAAATAGAATTCAGTATCTTATAATTCGTACCGAGTAAATCAAAAGACACAAATCCATAAATAGGAGTCTGCTAATAACTTAGGATTAAAATCATTCTATATGTGACCATTAGTAGACTCATTTAGAATTTCTATACTTAACAGAAATTATCAGAAATTCTCAGAAATTCATATTGTGTCTCTGTCTCGGTTCCATATAATCTCATTATGCGTAATACACTCATTTAATATATCGTCATATTAACAGTGCAGATAACACCGCTCCATTCTAAATGGGGATGACATGTATTAGTAATGTTTTAAAATTAAAGATTTCAAATTTTAATTAAAATCATTACGAACATCATTTTTATTATTATCCTTAAATATTATCCTCTCGCATATAACACTTATATACAATATTTATAGTCAAATAAATAATTACAAAATTTTTAATTATATTAATATTTAAAATATTCAATAATATATGCACATAAAATAGTAAATAAACTCTTTTATTAAATAAATAATAAATATTTTATTACATATCATATTTTTAAGACACCGCTCTCAACAAAAACATCTAATTTCCCTCAATTTAATTTTTGCAATTTCAAGGGATTTGTCTTGCTTATCATAGCTAGATTGTGCAAGAACCTCCTTCTATATGCAAAGAGTACTCCTTCTCCATCATTTGACCCACCCTGAGCAGGTTCTGATCTATGCTGGGATAAGAGTACATCATTGATGTATTTCTTGTCCTTTCTTGTGTCAATAGCAATGGTCCCTTTGCCTGTTGCCTCCATGAAGTCACCATTGCCAATTTTGACTTTTGTGACAGCTCCGTTTGGTATCTAGATTCGTTTCTTGATTCGAATCATAATTCGTGATTCGCTACAATATTTTTTCTCATAAAAAATACACATAAATTGAAAATGATTCTAATCACATGGTTTGAATCTATGAACCAAACGCCAATAAATCAAGACTACAGAAAATGCCTTCATTTTTTGTCATGTGGTTACTACAACCACTCTCTAGGTACCGGGCATCTTTCTTTTCGTCTAATGTAGCTTTGCAGAAGAGATAATTTTCATCATTTTTCTCTTCTAAGAAATTAGATTGATGATTTTTCTTTAAACGGCAATTATTTTCAACGTGCCCAAATTTTTTACAATTTTGGCACTGTGCCCAAATTCTTTAGTTGCTTCAATTGCAAAGATATTGCATCATATTTTTGTACAAGAAATTAGTATCTTCTCAACAATTTTCTTGTCAGAAAAATTTTTCACCATAGGCTCTCATTTGATTAACTATTTCTTTTATTCTAGAATAAATTAATTTGCGGTCTCATTACCCTTCATTTTAATATTTTCAAAATCTATTCTATGAGTCTACAATTTGACGGTGCATACTTTTTGGTACCTTTTTAGGCTTTGTTCATTTCACCTATTCGAGTTTTGTTACAGTAAAAAGCTCTCAGAAACAGTCACATCTAACTTTTTTGTTACAGTAAAAGCTCTTACATAAAGTTTATCTCAACTCGAATTAAAAACTCAAATCAGCAAACTAAACGGGCCCTTAATATTTGAGAATCCTTTTGTTTGTTTTCTTTGAGCACCTTCTTTTGATTAGCTGAAAAGGTGGATATGTCTTCTAGAACATTGAATCCCTCTTCAATTTTCCGCAGATTTTGGGAGCGAAAATAGGTCGTCATTTTAATGGACCAAAAATCATAATTTTCTCCATGGAAAATTGGAAGAGGAACGGAAGAGCAGTCGTCCATTCGTGATTGGTTTATAATATGAGAGATTTCTTCTACGCCCGATAGAAAACCGAAAGCAGCTCTAATACCACTGATGGAATATTTTTGTTATAAAAAAATAAATAAAAATAAATAAATAAAAACTTTTTAAAAAGGTGTGGTCGAAAGTTGTGTGTAGTGATTATTCGTGTTTGGTACAAAGGTACGATTAGTAGTCTTAATTAGGCAATTAGTATTTGGTTATATGTTGAATAATGGGACAAGTTGTAATATAGAGGTCTGCTAAAAAGGGTGGGCACGGTAGAATTGGGAAAAGATATTTATATTATTTGTTTTCAGGTTACACACATAAGCAACTGAGTTTGCCTATTAGTATTTGGTGCCGGTCATTGGAGATCCGCCATTGTTGCTTAATGGCAAGGGTTGGAATCGATTTCGGATTCTTCCACTTATCTGGTGTGATTAGTTATTGTATTCTTTTTGAAGGGGCTTTTGGCCACGTTAAATAACCATATCATTGTGTTATTATTTTACTGTGCTATTATATTCTTGTAACAAGGTTATTTTTAGTGATTTTGTGTCAACAACAAAGGTTTTACGGTCAATCAGATCTTACAAAAGCGTTTAAATAATATGCCTTTCAGACTTGACATACAAGATCGTAGTTATCGAAACAACAAGCAAGCGATGAATTAAAAGGCTAATTATGCATCCCTAGTGTAGGCGCAAGTGCATCTTGTAGGTGAATTGCTCAAGTAATATTGCAACATACTCCTGATCATGAAGCCAAGGATAAATAATACTGTCGAATCTTTTCAGAGCAACGAAACAGCTTGTTCTATTGCGATGGTTTGCGTTTAAGCACAGCAAGAAAGCTGATTGTTTTCTCCGCTTCAGCGATAGAGCTTGGATCTATCTCTTCTAGTTTCTTAAGATACAAGTCAAAAAGCTCATCCACAATCTCTTCTCCAAATTCCTGCTTGATCAGTTGGCCAAGAGTAGATCTCACACAGTACGTAAGTTGGTGGGCATTAAGAGAAGCACCATTTACCTTCACATGGGGAAGAACTTCTATTCTCTCTGCGCTAAAACTTCCATTTCGCTTCACGGCGGCTTCAAATTCTTGAGGTGTCATCAAATAAGTTGGTATGTTGAAGGAGTCCACTTTCTCCTCACTAACTATTCCCTACAAGATTGACGAAGGACGAGTTAAGTAAACTATAAAAACATAGGCCGTGTTTAGAATTGATGCTGTTTTTAATTTTTGCGTTTTTTAAGAAAGAAAAAATTAAAACGTTTCTAAAACGGCGTTTGGCGCAATAAATATAAAAAAGGGAAATGAAAACGATTTTTTGTTTAGTGTAAAATGAGAGAGAAAAAAAAATGACTTTTAATCGTTTTTTATTTTTTATTTTCATTTTATCCTCTCTCGAGCAGAGAGAGAGAAAGAGAGACATTAATAGATTTTTTTACACTAAAAACAATCTCTAGATAAAACTACCAAACGCATTTTCAAAAATGATTTCTGTCTGAGATTTAAAACGTTTTCATTTTTATTTTCATACAAAAAATAAAACATTTTGGAACGAATTCTAAACGCGCTCATAATATTAACACATATAAACAGGGGGTCCAAATCAAGCTTTCCATAAGTTCCAATTTTGCGCACGTATTTGTTATCGACATAAAGGAATATTAACTACAAAAGCAGCCATAAATTATATTTAGCCGGCCGTGAAAGTATTTTTAAATCATAGTCCTTGTTATCTTCCGAACCATAATTTCAATAGCTTACGTACGAGACAGTGGCTTTCACACGAGGCCAAAAGTACGTGAATAATTTTCTTGTGCTTGTCCAAGAAGAGATAAATTAAATTAGTAGCTGTTATCATTAAAAATATTATAAACTGCCTCTAATGTTAACAAATAAGTTTTCACACTTCACAAATTATTTATAAAATATGTTAATTTGCAGGCACCAAATAATCACCTCCACTACGTGTGTGACTACCGATTTATAAGATTTTGATTGGCTTATTTGAGATAATTAATTGGTTCATGATCAAAATAATAAACCTTTTGGTTTGATTTTTCGAAGCAAGTACAATTTATACTCCAATGAAAATGTCTGAGACAGAAATTATTTTTAAAAATGTGTTTTGTAGTTTTATCAAGAGATTATTTTCAGTATAAAAAAAACTCATTAATGTCTCTCTTTTTCTCTCTACTTGAGAGAGGAAAAAACAAAAATAAAAAATTATTAAAATGCGTTTTTCATTTCTCTGATTAAATATTTATGTACCTTTTTAACCTTTTGGTAATAATAGTTATGTACCTTTTTAACCATGTCCATTAGGCAAGATCCTATAAGGTCAAAACCCCTATTTCCTCCTGCTTCAAAAGGATTAACTCCATTGGCGATGCCCAGAATGATAAACACCATCAATCCTCCACAAACAACCTCTTGTGCCCTGGCTTGCAAAAGCTCTTCCATGTCCTTCTCGTATTGAGCTTTATAAGCCTTGATAACTTCATCAGGAGAATTCGAGTAATAAACTCGCCCTTTGTTCCAAGCAGGAGAGCTTTTGTCTATTACTTCTTTTGGCACTTGAGAAAGCCAGTGGATGGAAAAAGAAGAATGAACAAAGTGGAGAGAAGCCTCCGGAAATATGCGACTGTAGAAAGAACCGGGAACTCCGGCAGCGTAATATCGCCGGATTGGAGGAATGTTCTTGAAGAGCATGTTGAAATCATTTGAGGTATGGTCATTGAAGAAAACTTGGAATTCTGGAATTTTGGAAGCGAGGCCTTCGGATTCGAACTTCAACTCCACAGCTTCAATGATGTTTTCCACTGCACTGAATGTATTTGGCCCAACAGAGCAACCTAAATCTGCAATGGAAAAGGCTTTTGGAGGACTCGTACTACTAAATCCTATGTCAAGCTTTTCTGCAACTTCCTTTTGCACAAGTTCTTTAGTAAAATCTATGACCACTCTCTGCAAAAAGTACAATCAATTATTTGAAATATGACTTGCAACAATAAATAGTCAACTCAAATAAATTAGGCATCGTTCATTTCACCTATTTAAATTTAAAATTTGAGTTTTGTTACAGTAAAAATTTTTCAGAAACAGTCATATCTAACTTTTTTGTTACAGTAATAAATTATCATATAAAGTCACAACTCAATTTAAATTAAAAATTTAAATTAATGAACTAAACAGACCCTTAATCTGCCTTCAAAATTTTGTACGGGGAAAGTTTCTCCTTTTTCATAAAAAATCCGCCTTCGAACTTTTGTTGTTGCAAAGACATGGGGAAAAAAATGTGTATACCTGAGAAACGGAGGTGTTGGCATAGCTGTAGGGGCCATCTCCACTGTTCATTGGATATGCTAAAGATAATTTGCCCCTTTCTTCTTCTTCCATCTTTCTCTCTGAGAGCTTTCTTACACTAGGGGACACCATGACTAAGGTCATTATTTATAACAGTACTATGACATACTATCATACAAGTCAATCTTTTTAAAAAATATTAGTGATTGAGTTGAAGGATTGCAATTACAATATTAGGTGTTGGATGGGCTTTGTTATAATAATATATTTATGACATGGCATTATTCCACGTGGCTTGAGCAAAGTCTGAACACTAATGGGTCGGGTGGCGTCGAAGCACCCCGAGCATACAAGTGTTTGAGCATCTGAGCATCTGAGTGTCCAAGTTCCGAGCGTTTGAGTGTCTGAGCATCCGAGTACCTGTGTGTCTAAGCATTTATTCTCGATTTAAAGGAAGAGGCTTGAGGATCACAAGATAACACTAAGTAGCATAATGGTTGGCAATTAAATGCATTCAATAACAAATATTAAATTATTTATCAGTTGTAACAACTAATAGAGGTGAAGAGTTTTACGTTGTGTCTAAGCATTTAAAAATTTTACTTGAACGATTATGAATTCATTTTAAAAACACCCTGTATTATAGTCTGTATTTGACTCAATATGGATCTCAAATTTAAAAATGTAGCAAATGATCACTTCCTGATCTTCATAAACTTTTTCAAATTATGACCAACTCTTTGAACAGAACAAGAAAATCCGTGATATAATAGAGACAGCTTTTTGAGATAAAACACATAGACGTGTAATTAACCTCATCAAACTCGGATAGCCTCGATGCTTTTGGCTTGTCTTGGCACATGATGTTGGTTACATAACAAACAAACAATAAACTCGTGTATCGAATATCCTTAGGTTTACCAACTCGTTTCCGTTTTATTTTCCCATTAAGCCAAACCTAAACCTGTGCTCGAGAGATAGCTATCCATATACTGATAAGGGATGTATGAATTCTCGAGAAGAAAGGACCCGTGGTGGTCTCTCCCAGACCGCCCGGATCCCACGAGTGAATAGAAAGTTAGATCTACATTGGATCTCACCTGAATCGCCTCATCTATCCTCTTAAGGAGAAGTTTAGTTTCGAACCCCAGTTCGAACCGGAGAAGTATGCTATGCTAATGTGCCTCTGATATAATGAGATCTAATCATACATAAAAGAGCTAAATTCTCATATTATGGTACTCCTCTTTGACAGTGCCGCGTGGCAGACTCTCCTTTTCTCTTTTTTTTTTTTTTTTTGCTTTTTTTTCCTTCTTTATCTTTTTATCTTCAATTTTTTATCTTTTAAGTATTTTGCTTTTTTTTTATTTTGTGGATATTTTTTATAATTTAATCTTTTTGGTGTCTTTTCTTTAAATTGGAAACAAAAGTAAGATCATAAAAATAAAGATTATTGATTCTCTTCCTAACGTGTACTTACTATTTAATGATGGTATATAAAAAATCTAATTGCCTTTTAGGCATTTACTAAACTTTTGTAGTAAATAGGGTCAATCGGTAATTGTAATATATAGCATATTTGAAAAACTTGAAATAATAAATAACATAATTATTTTAATTAGTTAGTAAATAGCAATATTCTTAAAAAGAATGTATTTGTTAAAATTTTCTCATTTTATCCTTATTTTTAATTACAAATAAATAGCAATTTTTAAATTTAGAAAAAATCCTCAAAGTTTGAAAACCGTAAATCTTGGCTCTCAATCTCTCTCCTCATGCGCCTTTCTCTCTCCCTCTCTCTTGCACATTTGTCTTTTTCTCTCTGAATGTATGTGTTTTTAATTTTGGGCTCGTTTAGTTCATTAATTCAAGTTTTTAATTCGAATTGAGATGTGACTTTATGTGAAAATTTTTTACTATAGTAAAAAAAGTTCTATTTCTGATAGCTTTTTACTGCAGCAAAACTCAAATCGGTGAAATGAACGGGACCTATGTCTTCTCCATTGGCCATTTCAAAAAAAAAAATCACATTTTTTTTTGTCCAAATCTTGCAACGATAATAGACCTAATGAAAATTGGGAAAAAATGCCTTGGGGTGATCCAACACACTATCAAAGTCGGATCTTTCTCCGTTGATCTCCTCCCACTCTCGCTAAATGTATGATCGCCATGGCCATGGGATTGGGATCTCCATCGTACGATCACCTTCGCAATTTCCTGATGCAATTTATGAAATATCGAATGGCCCATTCAGAATTTACGCCATCACTAAATTTGGTAAATCCAGTATTTACCTTATGAATCCAATTTTCCTTGTAACCTATGATCAACTTTGGTAAATTAACAATTTACTTGATTTATTCCCGTAAACAATAAATCATATACATTTTTATCGGTATTTACTTTTCCTTCTATTAGCATTATAAAAAATATGTTATTTTATGACTCTTAATAGACGACAGTTTTCCAAGAAACTATCGTCTATATAAATGAAAAAAGAAGGTGCCAATTTTTTGGAATTTAGACGACGGTTTTACTAAAACCTTCGTCTGATATAAGAGAATAAACGATTGTTTTCAATTAAGATCTCGTTTGGTTAGAGGATTCGTTCTCTGATTCGAATCATGGTTCATGGTTCGCTACAGTATTTTCTCTCACAAAAAACACACGTAAATCGAAAATGGTTCTAATCCATGAACCAAACGGGCTCTAAATCTCGACTTCACCCAGCTCCCTCTCCCTCTAACTTTAGAAAATGCATTCTCTCTCTCTCTCTCTTCCTTCGACCTGTGAACCCAGCTTAGCCGCGCCCATCACCATCGTCGCCTCTGCCGTCTCCGTCGCGCTTCAGTCCCGATGTTGCTTGTTGTCGCCGCCGTGATGCGTTTCGCCGTCGCTCGTCAAGTCTGTGTCGCCATGGTCCTATCCTCATCCCTTTGACATAACTCTATCAAGTAAGGTATTTTTAGGTTAACATAATATTTGAATTAGATAATGGATTTGAGTTTAGGTTTTAGTTAGGTTTTGAATAATAAAACAAATGTTTTTTTTTTTTGTGAAATTGAATAGGAAGTGTTTTGAATTAAGGTTAGTTTGCATGAGTTATTGAATAATTTTTTTTGGGTAGTGTGATTTGGTACCCATTGGATTATGCGATTGTGTTTGTTTTGATGGTGTATGATTAATGTGTTTGTTTGGATTTTTTTTAGTTGTTACTGACATATAAATTTGTTAATAAAATTATTTCTTTTAATTAGGGATTTGTAATTTTGTTATTTTGGTTTTGTGCAGCAACGAATAGAAAATGGATGTTTGCAAATAGGATGAGTAATGAATATAAGAGAGGGGTTGAAGAATTTGTGTCATTTGCAAAGAATACCATGAAAAAATATGATTCATTACTCATGTTTACAGTGTGGAAATATAAAGAAACAATCAATAGAGGATCTTAGATTTCATTTGTTCTGATATGGGATTGATTGGACTTCTCAAACATGGATATGGCATGGTGAAGATGTACTTCCTACTTTATCATCGATGGTTAGAGGAAATGAGGATGCTTGTATGGATCATGAAAAAATGGTAGTAACATGGTTGAAATGATAAATGATTTGGAGGAAGAATTTGTGAACCGACTGGAGTTGTTTGAGAAGATGATGACTGAGGTGGAGACACCGTGGTATAATAGGTGTAAGAAGTATATCAAATTGTCCGGTTCGATTAGATTGTGGAACTTGAAGGCGTCAGGTGGGTGCTCCAACGTAAGTTTCATGAAACCTTTAGAATTTCTGAACGATGCACTTTCATATACTAATCCAGTGCCAAGTAGTATGTATGAGACTAGGAAGACATTGAACACTATGGGGATGGAGTACGAGAAGATACATACATGCTCGAATAATTGCATTCTATACTAGAAAGAGTGTGAAGACTTTGATAAGTCTCTGGTGTGTCATGAGCCTAGGTGGAAAAAAGATAAGAAACGGAAGAAAATGAGTGCTAACAAAGGTGTTATAGTACATTCCAATAGAACCACGGTTAAAGCGATTGTATAAGAATGAGGGTCATCCAAAAAATTTAATTTGCCATCATGATAAGAGGATCGATGATAGTCTGCTCTCCACAACGGAAGACATTTAATGCAAAGTATCCCAAATTTAGTGCATAGCCTAAAAATGTCGTCTTGCTTTAGCGGCTGATGGAATGAATCCACATAGAAATTTGAGCAACAAGCATAGTACATGGCCAGTCATTCTAGTAAACTACAATATTCCTCCAGACTTGTTCATGAAACGGAAGTTCGTAATGTTGACCTTATTGATCTCAAGACCTAATCAACCAGAAAATGGCATTAGTGTCTACTTGGCACTGTTGATCGACGAGCTTAGGAGTTTGCGGGAAAAAGGGATCCAAGTTGAGGATGGTTTCTGTTAAGAGACCTTCATAATCTGTGCAATGTTCATATGGACCATTAATGGCTTCCTGCATTTAGAAACCTAGTTGGGTACTCAATTAAGAGTTTCATAGGTTGCCCCATTTGCTTAACAGAGACATCTTCTTTCCGGTTGAAACATGGAAAGAAAACGGTTTACAATGGTCATAGGATATTCTTGCCTACAAACCATCGATACCACGAATAAAAAAAGCATTTAATGGTAATAATTAAGAAATACCACCTCCATAATTGTTGATAAAGGAACAAGTATTTGAGATGGTGAAGAATGCCAAAGTTGTTTTTAGGAAAAAGAATGACAAAAATAATAATATTGTGACTAGATCTGGAAGAAGAAGTCAATTTTCTTCGAGCTTCCATATTAGAGTTCACTGTTCGTTCACTATTGTTTGGATGTCATGCATGTTAAGAAAAATATCTGTGAGTCGATAGTTGGCACACTGCTTGACATCCCAGTAAAATGAATGACAGTCTCAAAGCATGGTTGGATCTCGTGTAGATAAACATTATATGTGACTTGGGTCCTAAAAGGAGAAGCTCTCGCACTTACTTACATTTGGCTAAGTATACATTATTGAGACAAGAGAACAAACAGTTATCTGAGTGGCTTGCTGCAATCAAAGTTCCAGAAAGGTAGTCTTCCAACTTCAAGAATATGGTGTCAATGAAAGACTTGTAG